GTCTTTAATGGCTGAGCCATCTCTCCAGTCCCAAGAAGATGCTGGAAACTGAACCCAGGTCCTCTGCTAGAGAACTAAGTATCCTTAATTGCTGAGTCATCTTTCCAGTTGTTTTAGGGTTTCTATTGCTGTGAAGAGACACCATAACCATGGCAACTCTTATAAAGGAAAACATTTGATTCGGTGGCTCATTTACTGTTTAGAGGTGCAGTCCATTATCATCATGGGGGGACATGGCTGAATGCAGGCAGACATGGTGCTGGGGAAATAGCTGAGTGTCCTACAACTTGCAAGCAACCAGAAGTGGTCTCAAACACCATGCATGGCTTGACCATATATGAGACCGCAAAGCCTGCCTCCACAGTAACACACTCCCTCCCACAGGGCCACACCTCCTAATATTGCCACTCCCTCTGGGGGCCATTTTCTTTCAAACCACCACACCAGTCATCCATGCAAATCTTACAATGCGATTCCAAGGAATCTTCCAGAATATGCTGAGTCACAAGTGAATAGCTTCTGTGCCCAACTTTGATAAAGATTAACATTTGGAGTCAAAGTCCTTTCCTATCCTCATCTTCGTTCCACTCTGAAGCCCTCTAAAGTCTAAGCATTATCTCTTCCATCTTTATTCTTCTCTGCCTGACCCCATGTACCCTCCACTTGTCACTTAAGAGACCATACCATTTCCTCTATTCCTCCCAGGTTCCTGCTGCAGTACTGCATCTGATCATTGCTGACTTAATGACTCCCACCTGATCCTGACAGCAAAGATGTCACAGCTGCTTTTTTTAAAAAAAAACTTCAGACGAAAAATTCCCTTAAGAGGCCTCTTTGGTAGTTACTTTCTGTGGTGATATATTGCTTATGATTTATTAAAGCTTGCCTGAGGATTCTAAACTGAGACTACTCTCTGCCAGGCGGAGAAACATCACCTCCGGACAACTGTCCTCGGCAGAGCCTTGCAGGAGTCTGCCTTGTTTGACAACAGGGATGAAGTGCCTAGTCCTTTGTGGCCTGACCCTGCTAACAGTCCGAGGGCAGCAGGGAGAGCTCGCAGAGGAGTCTGACAAACACAGCGGCTCGCCGGTGATGCGCTACGGAGCACTCGGCGGGAGGATGGGGGCGGGACTGCAGGCGGAATCGCAACTTACGCTTTCCGGTCTCTTGGGGGCGGAGCTCATTAACTTTACCTCAGTAGGTGACGCTGTCTGGGGGAGAGCCGCAAGCAAGCCGCGTGTGTGTTGCGGGGCCGAGCGTGTAGCGTCAGGACGACACCGGGCGCAAGCCCCGCCCAGCTATCATAGAGTGCAAGGATAAAGTCAAAGTTGCTCAACCCGGAGGCCAGTGGACTCAGTCCCTGGCACCAGCACCATGCCCATGACACTGGGTTACTGGGACATCCGTGGGGTGAGCGACCACCTGACGGGTGGAAAGGATCACTGGTCTAGGATGAGGGAAGCGGTGAGGGGGAGGGGGTCTAGGGGAATCCCTTTGCTTGTCTAGCTCAGAGTCTTGCACGCAGTTTGCTGGTGTGTGTCTGTGTGCACTCACTCGAGGAGGTAAAGTCACATAGAAATCCCCAGCCCTCATTCCTGACCTGTCTCTCTAGCTGGCTCATGCCATTCGCTTGCTCCTGGAATACACAGACTCAAGCTATGAGGAGAAGAGATACACCATGGGCGACGGTAATGACACTCTTCTGGTCAGACTTCTTCCCTACCCCTGTCGATTAGTGTCTAGCAACCCATTTCTGACCTCCACTATATTACAGGTGGACTTAGAATCTGCCTCTTCCAGAAACTCCAGAGGGTGGGCTTGATCTTTCAATACAGAGCTCTGGAGGTGGAGGGGTGGGTCCCCTTACTCCTGCTGAAATTAGATCACATTCCCCATGAAGACTTGCCTAAACCTTTGTAAGGCTTCAAACACTCCTCATCCCTGGAACCATAGATTGTGAGGTTACAGATCCCTTGAATAGGAGTGTTGGACACTAGACTGATTTCTTTTTATGTAATCTTACCAACCACAGCTCCTGACTATGACAGAAGCCAGTGGCTGAGTGAGAAATTCAACCTGGGTCTGGATTTTCCCAATGTAGGTAGTGGGGAAGGGCAGGTCTGGGGAGGGCATGGTGTTCCCACCTCATCTCCTCGCCTGGCTGAGGGGGGTTGGGATCAGAGCTTCAGCTCTCCTGCTCCCATTCCTGGTGGCTGCACAGTGTTTCTGTGATGGGCTGTGTCCCAGCTCTTCCATTCATTGTGCAGTGTGTTCATGGAGGGCTAGCCACACTAAATGCCAGGCCACATGGCCACATGACTGTCCTAACTCGGGAAATTGAGTCTGGGACCTCATATCCCATCTGACTGTCCTTGCTTGCCCAAACAGCTGCCCTACTTACTAGATGGATCAAACAAGATCACCCAGAGCAATGCCATCCTGCGCTACATTGCCCGCAAGCACAACCTGTGTGAGTGGGGCTGGCTGCAGGCTGGGGCGTGGTGGACATCCTCCTTGTCTTCGCTGGGGTGGGATGCTGAGGGTGAGTCTCTGCTGTGTGTGCTGCAGGTGGAGAGACAGAGGAGGAAAAGATTCGTGTGGACATTTTGGAGAACCAGGCTATGGATGTCTCCAATCAGCTGGCTAGAGTCTGTTACAGCCCAGACTTTGTGAGTCTCGTCCACATCCCACACTGGGCTGAACCAGGCAGTGTTTGGGTCAGGAGTCAGCTCTCTCAGATCCCCATCTGCACAGGTCTTATTTATTTACCTTTTGAATGTCTCAGCCAGGTATCCTCCAATATGCTTCCTGTGTTCACCAGCAGTCCCCAAAACACTGAACTGCCAAGCGAACACTCTTACTTAGGCCCTACCTATGTTAGGGTACAGTCCAGACTGCCCAGAGTGGGCATTAAGTTCCCAGAGAGTGAAGTCATGTTTTCCAAGTGTTCTCCACCAGGTCGTTCACATCATTGCAGTTCGTGAAATACTTGTATACTCAATGGGTTAGAAAAAGAAGTCCAAGATGAAGGACTCTCCCAGAACCCTTTCTAACCTCTCAAAGTGCTTCGCTTCACACCTACATGAGTCAGCATGGTTTTCTGTAGGTATGAGCTCAGGATCAGACTGAAGGACTTTCTCTCCCTTCTTTCCTTCAGTCTCAAATACTCCTCAGTCTTCTAACCTCTCAAAGTGCTTCGCTTCACACCCACATGAGTCAGCATGGTTCTCTGTAGGTATGAGCTCAGGACCAGCCTGAAGGACTTTCTCTCCCTTCTTTCCTTCAGTCTCAAATACTCCTCAGTTTATGGGGGGAAACTCAAGTATATGCCATTTTTCTGGAACCTATGGTGTGGACCTCTCATCTCCTCTGAGTACTTTTAGTTCCCCCTTCTTTGATGTTGTCTGTCACCAGACCCAATGCCTGCCAAGTGCTCCAGGCACTCATAGATTTAGGCCTCAGGAATGATGATTTCCCATTGTGGATGGTGTTTTAGTCTTCTCCGGCTTTCCATTGCATTTGAAGGGTGGGGTGGGATACCATGGAGTCTAATAAGTAAATGTTGATATGTTAAATCAAAGCCTGGACGGTGATTCGGTCCTCATCTCAGTGGAGATGGCTGCCCACCCCTGGCCATTTAGGGCCATACAAAGTACTGATGAACCTGGTCACTCTGCCAGGGAACTTACATGGTGACAGCTATTTTCTGCTCCAGGAGAAACTGAAGGCAGAGTACTTGGAGCAGCTCCCTGGAATGATGAAGCTCTTCTCACAGTTCCTGGGGAAGCAGACATGGTTTGTTGGTGAAAAGGTAAAAGAGAAGAAGTTGGGAGTTGTAATTCTTCCCCGGGGACAGAATTTCATGCCTCCTAATTCTTGGCCCTTTTCAGATTACTTTTGTGGATTTCCTTGCTTATGATATCCTGGACCTGCACCTTATATTCGAACCCAAGTGTCTGGACACATTCCCAAACCTGAAGGATTTTGTGGCCCGCTTTGAGGTGATGCCCTGATCCTCCTCCTTCTTGGCTGTCAACTTTTCCCTGATGGTTTCTTGGGCTTGGAGATGAAGGGCAGAATAAGTGGCATAAATTGAGCCCTGGCTTTCTGCAAGAGTCTGTGCTCAGCACCTTATGTCTATTGATCAAGTTTATCATTACAGCATTCCTCAAGGGTGGGTGGAATTCAGTCCCACTCCTCAAATAAGGAAATGAGAAACTGGAGAGGGTAAATGACAGGTCATTTACCCTCTCAAGGTCTAAGCACCAGCAGAGCTGTGCTGGGTCCCTGTTGACCTCTTGATCCTCATGGAGCAGGTAGTGGCTACAGTCTGGGTTAGGAGGGCAAGTCCAAGGAAGATGCTGTGGTGTAGCTGGAGTTTCTTTCACATTCCCCATCACTGTGATGTAATGTACCAGGATGTAACCAGTACTTGTACTTGATCTGCCGGATGCTTTGCTGAGACCCCTGTGGGGCCCTTGTTAGAGAATTCTACCCTGAAATGTGTGTCATGGACTTTTCTCCCTCACTCCTTTTGTTTTTTCTTTTGAGTGTCCAATATACTTACCTTGTTGGATATGAGATGTCACAATATACTTATTTTTCACTTGTATTTCCTGATTTCTGTACTAGGCACATGCAATGCCCAGGAAGAAAGGAATGATTTGGGCGAGCTTGGCTTTTCTTTCCTGGTCTACCTATATCTATAAACTTTGACCCCATTTTACTGAGACATTGATGAGATAGGAGTTATCTGCCAATGTGTCCCCTTGTCCTGTGCAACCCAGGCAATGTGGAGTTTAGGTGTGCAAGAGGAGCATGTCTATATAGATGGGTTGACAAGGCCTCTTAGCGAGGGCAGGAAAGGAGTACCAAGGGGGTACAGCACTGGAGAGATGAAGGCCAGAGATGTGTGCCACTTACTAGCAGTGTGAGCAAGAGAAGTTGATTACCCTCTCCGGCCTGGAGCAAACCTACATTTTCTTTTTCTTTTCTAACTCTTAGGGACTGAAGAAGATCTCTGCCTACATGAAGAGTAGCCGCTTCCTCCGCACACCTCTGTATACAAGGGTGGCCACATGGGGCAATAAGTAGGGCCTTGGCAGGGCAGGAGGTGAGAATGAGGAACCTGGGGCTCTGGGACTGTTGAACTTCCTGTAGCCCTGGCACTTCCTTCCATCCCCTTCCTGACCCCAGAATGTCATGGGTCCTCTTTTCTTTCACCCAGTCCCTACCCTTTCAAGCCCTTTAAAGCCTAGGCTCCTAGTTTTCCTTCAGCAAAGTGCCTATCTAGCATGACTGTCCTGCAGCCACTTGACAGTCTTGCCTGTCAATTGCTGTGATATCAAGAAGAGTTGGGACTCTCTCTCAGAGCCTGGGCTCCCCATGACTGCCAAGAGTCTAGAGATGCCTGATGTATGAGGTTACTGCCAGGCCATGTCAGGTACCTACTGTTAGGCCTGAACCACACTGGCCCTGGCTGCTGCACTGCCTGTTTTTAGGTTTTCACGGCTACCTCCAGAGACTGCCTTGAGACCTGGGATTCTGGTTGGATAAGCAGGGGTTTGGGACTTCCTGACCCCATCTGATAGCCTCACAGCAGGCAGCTGCTGAAGGCTCAAAGGGAGCCTTTTGGGACTTGGGATCTCCTGTATTCTAGCATTACTGAGGCTTATCATACAGGTCTCGGGTGAGGACCCAGGCTGGTGGGAGTCCCCAGGAGTAAGCCAGAATCCTCTATGCCTCCAGTTAGTATGGCTGCATTATATCTGTGTGTCTCCAGGATCCTGTCCTCCATCTCTGATGCCTTTGGAGTATCCTGTCCTGGTCACCAGAGATGGGGACCACCTTGGTTAATCCCTTCTCTCTGTGAGGCCCTGTGAAATAAATTTCTTCATGCTTTCATAGTTTCAGGTGTCTTTTCCTATCATTTATATCAGCAGTACTTTGGATAGGTATAGAATTGTAGGGTGAACTTTTGGGTTTAGAAGCTCCCCCTTCCCTTCAGAAATGGAGTGTTTCTTGTAAGAAGAATCTTGTCGCTCTGACTAGGATGTTTTTTGCACATGCTCTATTTTGGTACTTCAGATGGCCACCTTTGTCTTGAGATCTCCAAGTCAAAGCCTTCGTAGGGATCTGTACCCAGCCTGGGGCTTCTTCACACCCTTTCACAAATTTTCCTAGCATAGGCCTCTCCCACTCAGATTTAAAATAAAATTGCTCTGGGCTGTCAGGGCTGCCTCCAAGAGCCAAAGGAGATTGAAGAAAAGCCACAGCAGTCATGAGCAACTCTCTTTTTGAGCTGTTGGTCAGGGTTGTCCGAGAGACTCCCAGAACATTACAGGCCGTAACATTGGCATTGGCTGTCCCTCCAAGAAATGGAAGTTAAGTCCCTACTGCTGAAGACACTATGCACTTCAGACACAGGACCCAGAGGCCCCTAAGCTCTATCTGACTTGAAACCACCCCCTCCCTGAGTTCTAACTTCCATGGTGCCAGAAGGAACCATGCAAGTTTTCAAAGGAGGGAGGCAACCTCAGCTATGATGCCTATGAACCACAGCTATGACCAGCATGCTGCAATAACCCTTAGGGTACAGTAATGGCATGCACACCTTCATGGTAACCAACAGCTCTCTAATTGGACTGAAGGCCTGTTCAACAAGAGGAAAAATGTGCCTGGAATAGGAGACCTAGTCTGTTGCCCAGGGCTAGTGACGTCGTGGATACTGGAGGAGAACCTACCACTGCTGCCTTACTAAACCAGCATGATCCCTAATTACACTCTAAATATTTGTCCTTGTAACTACAGCAAAGTGTAGTCTTCATTCCTCATCAAGAAACTTCTCTTTGCAATAGATGGAGAGCATTACAGAAAAACATAACCAATCAAAATGCAGAGTTGTGGAGCCCAATCCCACTGATGCCACTTACAGCTCAACTCCTACCCTGAGGGCTCAGGGCTAGCTGCAGAAGAGGGGATGGGAAGGTTAAGAGCCGGAGGACCAGGGAGTCTGCTGTGAGACTGTGTCTCCTAGGAATGTCAGAAGCTACACCTGTGACATCCCACCAGCATGGTTGTCGAGATATAAGCTGAACAAGGACAACAACAGACATGCTAAAGTGAGCAGTGAGAAAGCTCATGAGGCCTAAACTCAAGATAAAGAACTTTAGGCGACTGAGGAAAGCTGAGAGTGGGAGACATAGTCTTCCCCAGGGAGAAGTACTATAACTGGTTATCCAGTACCAAATTGTCAGCCTTGAAAACATACATAGACTGAACAGGTCATTTTCATGTATTTAGAATACACACACACACACACACACACACACACACACACACACGGAGCAGTTAATGAAAAAAGAGGCCATGGAATTTGAAAGAGAGGGAGGGGTATATGGAAGGGTCTGGAGGGAAGAAAGGGAAGGGGGAAATGATGTAATTATAGTCTGAAAAAACAAAAGAAATAACTAAAAATTGAAACAAAGCTCATTTCACCACTTTTTCACAAGTCTTACCTGTCTTTTGGAAGAAACAGCATTCTGACCTCCTAGCCCTAGCGGATCGGAGGCAGGTACATGTTCAACTCTGGTGGATATTGCAGTACTTCAAAGTGATTGTCCCATCAGAAAAACACCAAAGATAGTATTGCTAACCAGTGAAGATTTGTTCAAAAACTATCAGAAATACATCTCCAAAAATGACTTAAGCCTTACAGAGGCATTTCCCCAAAGTGGACATCTGGTCACTTAGCCCATGGAATCATGTCAAACACCACTAGTTAGCAGAACAATGGCTAAACCCTGCAAGATCCTAGTGTATTCCCTGCAGAATGGCTCGCATCCAATGGGTGACAGCAGTTGGTGAATTTGTGCAATAATTGCAACTTGTGGCAGATTCATTACTCACTAGTCCTTCATCTGGGTGGTGTTCTCCTGAAGTGATTTAAAATCACACCTAGAATGAGTTTCAGGAGATTCTAAGGTTTCCAGTGAGGGTTATGGGAGTCTCCAAGACTGGGTGGTGTCAGTCCTCTGTCAGGCTGAGGAGCTGGAAGGCTAGAAGAGTCTCAGATGCCTGTGGTAGTGGTGCTAGTCCTCTTTTGCCTGGCATAAAGGACCAGCACACATGGGGGCATTCTGATTTCCAGTGACCAGGCTGCTGACAGACAGGGCATGGCCCTCTTGGTAGCCGAAGGTTGGGCCGGCATCAGGACCAGTGGCCTTCCTCACTGCATTTGAATCCAACTGGTAAAAAATGTAACCGTGACTTGACCAGTGTGTTTATGATTTTGTGCTAATAAACCCTGCTTCTGCCCCTGTTTGGGGCTGCCAGGAAAAACAATGCTCCCAAGTCTTTGTCCTTGTCCTGCAGCCCTGATGGATCAGCAACTCCACTTATGTGGTGATTTATTAAAATCTTTGGAACTCATAAATGTTGTCTCTCTCCTTCCTTGTGGCACACAATGGACTGGGTGTTACAGTAGTTCTATTTATTTTATTTTATTATTTTGGTTTTGTGAGTCAGAGTTTCTCTGTGTAACAGTCCTGGCTTTCCTGGAACTCACTCTGTAGACCAGGCTGGCCCTCGAACTCACAGAGATCCACCTGCCTCTACCTCTCAAGTGCTGGGATTAAAGGTGTGAGCCACCAATGCCCGGCTGATAGTTTATACTCTTATCTGCAGTATTCAAGAGTTCTCTTCTGTCCATGTTCTCACTGGCCCAATACCTTTGTTCTGTTTGATAACAGCAATTCTTACTGTGAAAAGGTGTGTCTCATGTGGTTTTGCTTTACATCTTGCTGGTGCTCAGGGATCCTGAATATTTCTCATGCATCTACAGGTCATATGTGTGTGTGGCTCTGAGTTGCCCAGCTTAGCAGAGTCCTGCATGCCATCTGGTATCTATGAAACACTATAGAAGAAAGGGAGCACTAATCTCTCTGCTTGAGGCAACTGTTTCTTTCTGGCTCAGCCATCTGGAGCCACCTAGAGTCAAGGCAGGGAGTTAATGGTGAAATGTGAGCAATGCCAGGAAGATAATGAACTGTGTTGCACTTTTACTGTCATGAGTGTTTCCACTTATACTGCCATCTCCCTGTGGACACAGCTCACTAGGGAGGCTCTGGCAGTCCAGTGTGGGCAGCTGGCCAGTCCAGCCCCACCTTTGTCTTCTGAGTGCCTTCACTTGTTCTGGGACAATCCACAATGTGGCTGGGTTGAATGTTACTTCTCCCTGCTGGTGGGTCCGTGGATCTTACTCCTGTCCTTCCTCTTTCTGGAATGTCTGGAGTTGGAAAAGGGTAGGGCAGTGACCCAACTGGAGACTGCAGCCAGGTCCTGTGTCCTCTCTGCCCAAGGATCAATCAGAAGGCCGGAACAAGCAAAGGCCCTGGTCCACCTGCTGGAGACTCATACCAAATCCATGGAACTGGGTTACTGGGACATTTGGGGATGAGTGAGGAGGCTGTAGGAGAGCGGGAAATACCTAGGAATGAATTCTAAAATACAGATTTTGTTCAGAAGTTGTTGGAAAGCTTTGCCTGTCAGGAGTTTAAAGACTAGAGCTGGTGCCTGTGTAATCTGTGTGTGATGTGTGTGTAGAGAGGTGGTTATTAGGAGTAAGGTGGAGGCTCTCACAGTTGGTTCACACCATCCTCCTGGTTCTGAGATGTAGAGACATAAGCTGTAAGGAGGAGAGACACACCATGGGAATGGTGGTTATACACTATCTGTCAGATTTTGCCCAATTTCTACCATCAATGCCCAACAAACCATGCCTGCCCCCCTGTTGGGCTCTGTAGGCCTCTTCCAGCTGGAGTTAGAAGATGCCCTTCCAGAAAATCTCTTTGAGGTTGGTCTTCTAGTGTAGGGCAATGGAAATGAAAGGCTGGGTTACCTTGTATTGTAATTGGGCCACATTCCACATTAGAGGGTGATTAAGCCTGTATAAGCCTTAGTGAAGTAGGGCCACAGTCTGTTATGGAATATTTATTTAACTATGCAAAGATGTGTTGCAATTGTTTAATTATGTAAAGATGTGTTGCTGCTTTACATTGTCTTCCTGAGGCACCTGATGGATCTAATAAAAAATTGAACCGTCAATAGCAAGGGAAGAGGTATAGGCAGGACTTCTGGGCAGGGAGAGTAAATAGGAGGAGAAATTTAAGCTCCAGAGAGAAAAGAAGAAGGAAAAAGACACACCAGAGAAATGCTAGGGGCTAGCCAGACAGACAGCAGAAAGCAGGAAAGTAGGACATACAGAAGGAAAGAAAGGTAAAATGCCTTGATACAAAACGTAGATTGATTAAAAACAGGTTAAATTAAAGAGCTAGTGGAACAAGTCTAAGCTAAGGTTAAAAGTCTCTGTGTCTTTTTCTTCTTAAGATTTATTTATCATGTATACAGTGCGTGCCAGAAGAGGGTACCAGATCACATTACAAATGGTTGTGAGCCACAATGTGGTTGCTGGGAATTGAACTCAGAACCTCTGGAAGAACAGTCAGTGCTCTTAACCCCTGAGCCATCTCTCTAGCCCCTCTCTGTATCTTTATTTGGGAGCTGATCAGCATCTCAAAGAAAATCCCAATTCCAACAGTCCTTGGAAGCACTCTGTCTTCATACCTGCAGCCTTGAGGCTGCTGGCTATTGCCTAAGGGATTCTTGTTGTTGGTTTCTTTGGAGGGGCCTGGAAAAGGGAGAGTGAACCCAGGGGATCTTTACATCTTTTTGACACCACAACACCTGACTATGACCAAAGCCAGTGGTTGGATTGAAAATTCAAGCTGGGCTTGGATTTTCCCAACATTGGATTTGAACGGAAGGGGCGGTGTGGGGAAGGCATGGCATCCTCAACTCATCTCATCACCTGGCTGAGGGGGGTTGGGATCAGAGCTTCAGTTCTCCTG